CAAATGCACTCACCAGATTTTGGTGAATGAAAAGCCTTTAGGATTTTATGGGGAATCCTATACCCTCTTTTATTTGTTCAGTGATAGCCTCTCCAAGATAAGATCCTCTTTCAGGTCCTCACCGTGGCTCCCTAGTTACGGTGGCGCAAACTAGGGAGCCACGGTGAGGACCTGAAAGAGGATCTTATCTTGCTATCACTGAGCAAATAAAAGAGGGTATTAGGATTCCCCATAAAATCCTAAAGGCTTTTCATTCACCAAATTCAGGTGAGTGAATTTGATTTTTGGTGTGCACGGGTTGAAAGGTGGAAGGCTAGAAAAAAAAATTATTTGGATGTTCGTATTTCTCACCACAAGTTTCCACCGTATCATCAAAGAGAAAAACTTACATAGTGCAACATTGCCAGATCAATCTTATACCATAACGAACAGAATCCAGGCCACTCACATTTCAATAGCTTGTAAAAGGCACATTTATTAAGTCCATGACAGCCTGATGATCAAAACCAGCCAACATACAGAGGCTGTTCCTCTGCTCTATCTGGCTACATTGATGTGGGAACCCTGGAGTATGTTGGCTGGTTTTGATTATCAGGTTGAAAGTTGTAAATGGCAAGTGCTGGGGTAAGCATTTTAACAATTAGTTTACTGGGGAATGTGTATTGTACTGCATTCAATGTGTTAAGTTAAAAAAACTGCTGAGGGTACTTTCAAAGTTACTACTTTAAGTTTTGGGTAAGACATGCATGGGTCTTATTTAACCAAATGGGAAACCTGCACGCCCATAATCATTTAGAAATATTTTTACCCCCGATGGAAAACACACATTTGCCCCGTCTGCGTTACGGGAGATTGCTTCAGTTTATACGTGTGCAGAATGTGCTCCGTACATGTCTTTAATCTCAAATGCAAAGAGGGTTTTTTTTAACAATTAGTTTGGGGAAAGTGTATTGTACTGCAATAAACTTTAAGTTTTGGGTAAGACACCTGACACGCCCATAATCATTTAGAAATATAGATGGAAAACACACATTTGCCTGCAAAGAGGGTTTTTTTGTGTGGAATAAAACACCTGACGCACTCCCGTAACATAATGTACTACTTGGATATAAGATGACATTGTACTACTACAATGCACTACTTGGGGATAACCATATTTAACCTTTTCTTACCCAAATGTGGACACTGTAACCTGCTCATTTAGGGCAGCATGACAGTTCCCAATAACCACAGCTAGGTATACTCACCGATCTGTACTTTCTCAGTGCTTCCCTGCTTCAGGAATCTACTCTGTTTAAGTTACGGTGTCAAATGATGTTGAAGCTTGGCCATGAGAGTGTTGAAGCCTGGAGCCTGGCTGCTCAGGCCTGAGCATTTTCACATGGGGAGGTAACATGTGATGGTGGGGGGTAGCGAAGGAGCAATGATATGCAAGAAAAACTTGCTGGAAGGGTAGCAGACTCTGATTGACAGGTGGGATTGCTTAAAGCAAATAGGCTGTTTAATTTGCAAGGGAATTTTCACTTTGCAAGGAAATTTCCATTAGCTTGGTAAATGAAGTGAACTTCCTTCATCCAATCATGAGCAAGCAATGAAACACAATTGCATAGTTTATATGGTTAAAAAAAAGACACAAGTCCATCCAGTTGAATGTGTGTGTTTTTTATTCTCTATCAATTCCCATAGCCATATACTGTATACGCTTCTTCAGGAGATAACCATTTTTTTTAGCTGTCAACACTCTCCAGTACCAGTTCCTCGGGGAGGGAGTTCCACATTATTACTACTCTAGCAGTAAATAGTAATTTTCTCGGTCTAAGGTAAACCTCTTTTCTTCTAACCTCAAATCATGGCCTTGTGTCCTCTTCAGAAACATTAGAGCAAATATTTTATTACAAATAGTGGAGTCACCTTTGATATACTGTATTTATGTATTTGTCAATATCGAACCTTATCTGCTAGGTAGCTGTAAAAACCCTCTATTTTTGTGATAATGCTAGAACCTATGTTAAAGTTATTTCCTGACATAATTTGAAATCATCTACAAATAGTGTTTTTTTTCCTGCATGTTATTGGATATTCTTTGCAGGGAATTTTCACTATATTCACTAACCTAGGGGAAGATTCCCTTGCAAAGTGAAAATTCATTTGCAAAGTGAACAGTCTATTTGTCTATCTAATGTGTAAGCTTGGGCAAAATAAGCATATATATTTAGTATACAGTATCTCTGCGATACGTGTGCATTTCCCCATGTTTTATCTTGTTGAAAATACTAAAAACAGAAAAAAAAAACAGTGATCCTGCCAGAATTTCCAGTGAGCTTCTAACTCTCTATATTGAGATGACAACTCTGCCTTTGTTTCACTGAAATCCCCACTAGTGTTGTCATTCCCTTTTGGGGTTTTCTTCTGCTAGTCTACAAATCTTTGTGCTGATGTCAGCACTTCACTGTCCGCACCTCCAAACCTCCTTGCCCTTAAAATGCATTGCTGCCCACTGCCCGCCCCTGTGAAGCTCTGCCTGGTGTGTAAGGTGTATGGGATATGGCTGTAGACACTGCCGGTTGTCATCCGGCACTACAGTTACCAAGGTTTACCAAACATGCTTCTTCCTTTGGTTACCTCTGTATTTCTTTCCACAGCACCCTGAGCTTGCTACAGCCATTGTGCATATGAGTGATACTGTTTTAATGAATAAATGCTTTGAAGCTTGTATTCGTTCCTGTGCCTTTTAGTCCTCATGCACACTGGACATTTTCATATTGCTGGTAACGTTAGCTGTGTAAAGTCACATTAAAAACTTTAATTTTTCAGCTTTTTTTAGCGTTTTTGCATTAGCGTTTAGCTGCATTTAGTGACGTTTTCCCACGTTTTTCCACGTTTTCGTTTTTTTTAGTGATTTTTTTTTTTTAACAAAAAAAAAATGGGAGAATCAAAAAAAAACATCCAAAAATGCCGATGTGTGGCATTTTACCGCATTTTGCTGCATTTTTCAGCATTAGAGCATTTTTACAGCTAAAAACCTCCTCTAGAAACCCACTAGCCCTGGGTTTTTTTTCCAGCCAAAAAACATTGATAACAGTCTATGTGTACATGGACACAAAGGATAACATGCTGGGGGATAACTAGCTGTAGAAAAAAACGTCAAAAGCCAAAAACAGCAGCTGTAAAAACGTCAAGTTTGCATGAGGGACTAACTTGTCTGCAGGAGCCTGACATTGCACCTGCCATACACAAATTGTAGGTGTTATGATTTGTAGGCTCCTGGGAGAAAAAAATAATAAATGCACATTTTTTTTCCTACAAAAAATCTGTACTTTTATTACTCTTTTCCCAAAGGGGAACTGAGCTTTTAAGCTTTTTGGCATTTGCAAGTGCAGTACATATTTAGAATATGGCTTACTTTGGAGTAGTACTTGAAGTAGACTCCAACAAGACTAAGAATTAATAAGTTTCACAAAAAAAAAAAAAAAGAGATAAAAGAGCTCTCTAAAAAAAAAAAAAATAAACTGGTCCGCAATAAAAATGCACAGCTTGAGTTCTGAGGAGGAGTTTGGGCAACCTAGTTCCTCTATCAGTCTATTACATAGACTGATTCTGTTTGTAAGGCAGGAATTGAATTTCTATCCACACAAAATTGATACATTTTTATCTCTGCTGTCATCCACTTAACAGGAAAATTTATTCATGCCAATGAACATAATCAAACCACAGCAGGAAGCAAACTAGCTTTATAAGATATATTAAGATAATATATTCATATTCAGACTTTTAGAGTAAAATTGCTGATGTTTTTTTTTTTATAAATGGATAATCGTCAAATGAATGAAGCTTGTAGGTAAAAGAAAAACAAATTGAAGAACTATATGACTGGCATTTTGAACATGTAAAAAATACTGTGCTTGTTTAATACTTGTTTAGGTGGTTTAGGTCAGCAATCCTGCTTCCCCAAACTTGTCCCAGGTATGGGACTTAGAATTTTGAAGCCTTTGGCTCAGCGCGATAGCCAGGCAATGGGAATTTCTCAAAAAGAGTTTTCAGAAATGATAGAATGCATATTTTCTCAGTACAAATGTCTTGCTTTCAAGACAGCTTGACTTCTCTCAAGGCCTAACAGTGAATATGTAAATGTGTATACATAGGGACACAAGTGAACAGAGTTCAACCGTGTGTGCAGAATATGCATCTCCCCCTCTGACTTGTGGGTCTGTACACTTCCCAGGAGAAATATGATAAGGTTGTTGGATATTAAATTTGGAGAATATTGTAGAAGTCAAATTTATACCCAAGAGGAAAGTGGCTGCCAGAGCTGTCATTTCTTTTTAAGACACTCGCAATATGTTTATTTGAAAAAAATATATAGATGTAGATGTTTTGAGACAGCGACACTGAGAAATAGGACACAAGAATTATAACTATCCTAATAATATCATTCAGTAGATACGATTCCAGAGAAACTATTGCACTGCTGAAAATTTAAACAATATAAACTGTATTGCAAAATTCTGAACAATACTTTAGTACTTTCTTAATATATTAAGGGATTGCACTTTATATGAAAAAAAAAACTGAACAATATTGATGTCTTTGGTAGAATTTCAGAAATTATACATCTAAAGCAGGGAATACATGGACCAAAAAATCCTGTTGAACTGGCTGAGTTTCGGTCAGTGTGTACTGCTGTCTGTTCAACGATTGGCTTCTGTCAAACAGGTATGGAACAACAAAGTGGAGGGGACCCCTGCTGTCAGAATACAATAGAAAAGTTGGAAAGATCTGTGCATCAATGCCATTTGTGTTGATTAAGGAATCTGTCAGTTTTTATTTTGTTCAACCTGTCAACCCGCAGGTTGAAAAAAATTACTGTGTTTACCCAGCTTGTGTTACTAAAGCTAAAAACATTTTTTACCTTGCATTAAGATAAAAAAAATGTCCTATTCCGCTGTCCTCCCCCTTCTTCATGTGCAGAGGAAAAAAGGGGAGAATAGATCCAGCTCTGTACACAGCTGCACCTATTCTACCCTCTCTTCCTCTTCACACAGCACTCAAGCAGTCAATGGCTCCTGCTGCTATCAATCAAATGCAGTGAGGAAGAAGTGGGGGCAGGGATAAGTCTTGCTCAGGGGCGGACTGACCATTTGGAAACTCGGGCACTGCCTGAGGGCCCGTGGTCAGTAGGGGGCCCCATGATATGCCCCTGGTACCTTTTTCATAGGCTTTGAGTTTGTGCAAGGCCACAGGGGCCCCATGATCCCCTATTGCCCGAGGGCCCCATGAGTTGTCAGTCCGCCCTGGTCCCGCTGTGTAAGTCTGTGGAACGCAGCTCCATAGAGACGCAGTTCGGGAGCGGTCAGACACGGTGTGCCTACATAGCAAGGAGGGTACACACAAAGAAGAGGAGGAGACAAGATCACCACAGGGGGACTGAAGAAGAGGAGGATCAGGGCCGCTCTGTGAAATACAATTGAACACAGAACAGGTGAGTATAACATGTTAGTTACTTAATTTTTTTTTACTTTAGTAACACTTTAACTTTATACCCTCACAACTAGATGGAGCCAGGTTCAAGTTTAGTTTCTTATATGGAGGTGGAACAGGGTTTTTAAGAGACTTGTCCCCACCGTAAGCATGAATAGAATAAAATACATTAGCCGACAGATTGCAAAGGGGTATATTACATTGTTCTTTGCTTAAAGACCTAAACTTCTTTGTGTTCTATATTTTTGATTTGTCATAGGACCTTTCTACAGATTTAGGAATTACGGTAATCATATGTGCTTCCTCTGTGTCTATGGTAAAGTATTGCAACATCGCATTCTTTTTGGACAGGGTGTTCATTAAGGATAAACCAAACATTCTTAGGTTCGGTTTGGCAAACATTTTTGAAATTATGATTCCAAACTCAAACCCCACTGAAATCAATGATAGCTAAACTTTGGATATCAATAATAGCCATTTTCTAGGTTAACAGACAATGGATTGTCAAACAATGGGCATGGGGATCTGGGCAGGGGTCTGGGGAACATGTACCTAATAAAAAAAAAAAAAAAAAAAATTTAAATTGTTGTTCAGAGCAGAGAGGTTCTTTTAAAGCAGTAGCAAACCGCAGCTTAAAAAAGAAAAATCCCCTGCAAGGTAATTGCTTACTAGCACATTATGAAGAACTTACCTTAAAGTGTTACTAAGCCGAAGACCCTACATTCACTCTATCTGGTTTCCCAAAGTACACAGCACATGGAAATGCAATTATTTTAGTAAATATAAACTGATAAATAACTTTTATCATTAGCAGTAAGAACAGTCTTGTGACTTCTATCAGTGTCCAGCAGAGCACTGGTTAAAGCTTGTAGAAGGAGTTTTTATTCTGTTCTAGGAGGATGCAAAACCCCTGACCTCTGTCTGGACAGTGCTGATTGGCCCTGTGCTGATCACATGCACTCTCCCAAGAAACAAAAAACCTCACTAGCAATACACACTAAACTGAGCATGTGAAGAGTGTCTCTACAAGATATGTCTTATAAGGAGATAAAAGAGAGACACTAGAAGAAGGGGAGGATCAGAGAAGTCAGGATCAAACAGTGTTTTTACACAATGCAAGGATTAACCCCTTAGGTTCCACACTGAGTATAACAAGCATGCTTGACTGCATATACAGACTGATTTTACTGTTGTAGGTTTAGTAAAACAAAACCTTCCAGCGGCGCGCTGTCCCCACTGCAGATGCTTCCATCTTCACGTGCTCCGGCCTTCTGACTGCCTGAGCCGCAATGACGTCACTCTGTATACTGTTTCTTCAAAATGCATGCACTAGCTCTCAAAAAGCGCAACTATCTCCTAAACAGGGCATGTTTAGGAGATATTCATTTTTCCTAGAGGTAAGCTTTGTTATAAGCTTACCTGTAGGTAAAAGTATAGAAAAAAGAGATCACTACCACTTTAAGATGGCTTAAAGGACAATACTAAAAATACAATTATCTTTCATATTACATGCTTGCGGGTACCTTAAAGATTGACACAGATTTATAAAACATTACAATTCAAAGGGTCAACATCAGCAACACAATATTGTGGCAACACTAAAATTGCAAAAAGACAACTGATTTTTTGCATAACAGTAGTAAACTATAATTAAGCAGTGGAAGTAGCGGAACAATATACCTAAAAATGTGCCTAAAAGTATATACTTTAAAAAAATCTAAGCAACAGCTATCATCTTTAAGAAAACCACCAAACAGTAGCAAAACAAGTCACTTAGCAAAATATATTATCTTCTTTTTAGTATAACACTGTATTGTTTACAAAGTTTAATAAAAAGTCAACCCAAAGTGCACCAAAACACCTTCAAAGCACAAGCCCACATTCCAGCAATTTGAATATTTGTGGAAACATGATACAAATATTGTACATATTTGCTGTAGAAAATCTCATATTTATTAATGAGAGTCTAATTTTGACAGACAAACATTAGGCCCATTTTAGCCAGATATATTACTTGAAGCTGCATCTTTTTCACAGAACAAAAAAAAAAATCACTCTTCAATAGGAGGCACATTTGGAGGCAGAGTGGGCTTCATTCAGCCTGGAATTTAATAAAATGCATTGTCATTTAATTTTTTTTGATGAATTAGGACTATTTCCTGTCTCTAAAAATTGCCTCCCATTTTAATTTAAAGAATCAACATGTACAGTACTGTAAGTAAGAGTGCTTTAAAAAATATACATTTTAATTGTTTATTTTTATTAATTTACAAAATGCAAAGTGAGAAAACAGAAAAAAAATCTCATCAATATTTCATGTGACTACCCTTTGGCTTCAAAACAGCATCAGTTCTTACTCTTGCCCACATAGTACATTTGTCAGGGATTTTGTAGGATTAGAGTCAGGTATAGGGCAGATGGGCAGGGGTGACATAAACTGGAACAAGGGCCCTCTCACAGGGTGGGCCCATAACCATGATCGACCGGGTGCCCATGCTCTGGAGCCAGGCTCAGGGCTTCCAAACCTTCTGAGTCCTGGCCACTCCCCTGGGATGAGGCGGCAGGGCTATAGCAGTGCCCGGCTTAGCCTGCCAGCAGGAAGGGCCTGCCTCTAAGAAGTTGGACATGGACTATCGGGAGTCACGTAACTATTTAGCATGGAGGAGTTTTGTTTGTTCAAGAAACAAATGAAAAATCAAGACTCAAGAAAGAGATTTCAATCTGTTAATCCTTTCCATGTCTGAGCTGGGTGAAGTTTACCATGTTGAGTCAAATTAATCTGCAGTCTCCACTCCTGGCAGTGCCCTTCCAACAATTCCTTTACATTTTAGCAACCATACTCCCCCCTGGAATCCAAAGACTTTAGATTCCTGGAAACCGCTTGGTTTCCAGGAATAATGCTGTTGGATTGCCAGTCGGCATCATTTATGGTCGAAACCACAATGGTGTCTGATCATCTTTGAACCCCGACTTTCATTCTTGATTAATGAAAACATTCTTGATAAATGCTTTTACTTTGGTACATCTTGCACTGGTCTAATAATTTCACCTCTAGCAGCTCAATACAAATGCCCCCAGCCATCCCTCTTAATCATGGCACCAATTCTGAAAACCAACAAAATAGAATTGGAGTCCTATTCCATTATTCCTAGTTGAAGTATTCGGGCAACTGGCCTGCTTTGAACACAATTTTTTTCAAAGTAAATGTTTCATGCCCCTGACATAATCAGTCAAGAGCATTTGAGAGGTGCCAAGAGGCGGGAGTTGGGGAAGGACCACAAGGGTTCTTTATTTCCAGTTCGACACCCTTCTGTTAAGGCTGTCTTCAGTCTCTTACATGTTCAACTAGGGGTTAGTGGAGGCACTGCAGAACCTAAGATGGAAGGGGATCCAGATTATTCCCTATTTGGACAATTTACTGATATTCACAAATTCAGAAACTGAATCTGAATGGAACCTGGACATTGTCTTGTATCTCTAGAAACTAGGATGAATAATCAACACGTAAAGTCACAGTTTATCCTGGCAACAAGAACGACCTTCATAGGGTATATAATAGACTCAATAAGTTATTTTTGATGGAAGAAAAAAACATTTAAATCTACCAAAAGCCTCAATACAGTTTCTAATTCATCAGTGTTCAGTCAGAGAAGCCATGAGGCTAGTATGCTGGATGACCTCAGCAATCCCAGGAGTACAATGAGTTCAACTGCATGCAAGGCTCATTCAAAACTGTGTCTTGTCCCTGATGGACAGGCAACAGGAATCGTTGGTCAAGAAGATAGTGATCCCACATGCGATAAAAAAGTTCATGAAATGGTGGTTAAGGCCTAAAATACTACAGGGTGGGTGTCTCTGGAAGCTGGCAAAACCCCTGAGATTAACCACAGATTCCAGCAATTGGGGATGGGGAGTGCACTTGGTGAACATCTAACAGGAAGTGGGACCCATTCTAGGCCTCAAGCTATTCCAATCTAAGAGAGCTACAAGCAATGGGAGAAGCCATTTTCAGTATTCTAGCCTCTGATCAAGAGAAGCACATTCAAATTGTAACAGTCAACATTACAGTGGCCTATATCAACAGGCAGGGTGGAACAAGGCCAGACCAACTAATGTAACTGGCAGATGAAATTCTCCTTTGCACAGAAAGGAACCTACAGTATGCTCTATTACAATCATTCACCTGAAAGAAGACCTGAATTGACTAGCCAGCTTCCTGAGGCTGAAGCAATTAAGACAGACATAATGATGCCTAAATCAGAAAGTGTTCTTAAAGATTACAGATAGGGATTCCGAAAATGGTCATCTTCACCTCCAGTGGAAACAAGAAACTAGATTTCTAGGTCTCCCTGGAAAGAGACAAGTACAGCATAGAGGTGGATTCATTAACTTACCCATAAGAAGGGAACTTTATTTTTGCATTTTCCCCCTTTTGGCTAATATGTCAAGGGTTCAAAAGCCAAGATAATTCTTACCACGCCATTCTGGCCCAAGAGAGTCTGGTTTTCAGCACTCTGCAAACTAAGCTTAGAGAAATAATGGAGGTTTCCTCAAGACAATACTTAATCTATCAGGGAGTTTTGCACCCAGCAGCAAATAAGCTAGTTCTCTTGGCATGGCTACTGAAAGGGACCTACTGAAGAAAAAGGCCTTTCAAATAGAGGCATAAACATTATTATTAACAGTAAGAAGTAGCTCACTAATGAAACCTATGGCAAAATGCTTAATAAATTATCATGGATGGTGTCCATTTGCAGCTTCTTGTAACACTACAAAGCTGTCAGTCAGTAATACAGAGAAAGCCAAAATTACTGCTCCAAAGATGGAAGATGAATCCATTCAGCTTTCCCCTCTCCCCAAGCTGGTGCACAAATAAGTGCAGTGCCCAGGAAGACTTGAACCGCAGCTCTCCAAGAACTGGCACTGGGCAGCCAGCCACTCGGCTATGGTAAAAGCAGATGCCATATCATGCAAGCAAAGGGAAAGCTAAGGACAAGGGGCTATCAACAAGTGTATGGTTGCTAGAAGCCTTTTATAAAAAAAAAAATTACTTTACAACTGTTTCAGAAAGTGCGCAAAAGTGATGTAGAATATTTGTACCGTATGTGATATGTATTTGATGCCAGCTTCTATTTGTTGCCTTTAACAGGGCACATGTAACATTCCATAACATTTGATTCTAAGAGAAAATGGACTTAAGAACATTCCACCAATAGAAAGATCAGCCTAACACTAAAGGCTAATAACATTCAAACAGAAGAGGAAATAAACAGGAGGGAGACCAATGCACTTTGTATAGAGATTCCTGTACACTCTAGGAATGAGCTGCAGGTTTAATCATTGTTCAGGAGGTTCGGTGAATCTGTATTTGGCCGAGTGACCCTCCAGCTACAGCAGGAATTGAAACATTTGCTAAATGTGACAGCTTCCTGATCAAAGCTCCTCATTGTAAGAGAGCTGGCACCTGCCATCGTACAAGCAACCAGTAATTCATTCCCACCCAGCACATTCAACTGTAAGCAAGGGATTTTCAACTTATAGGTGCATGGTAATAAAGGGGTGAAGACAGTGTATGCCACCTGCCTCTGGAAAGGAGGTTCCACTGCAGCACATTCTCTGGGTGTTTCATATTTTTATCCCTCTACAACAGCAGTGTGAGCTCCACAATTTACCTTTGTAACATTGATCCAGGATGGTTGCCAACCAGTAATGGTCCTTGATGTCACAAATTGATAAATCCATCAAGCACATATTACCAGAAGTGGTGAAACCTGATTCCTCTGGGTTGCAGAGGACAGCATTGCTCTCAGCTCTCTCCCCCCAGCCATGTACAGCTCCTGGGTTTTGTGAGGGATGAACCCCACCCTGGAAATCTGCCCTATGTCCTCCTGTTCCTTAGCTCCACCACAGTAACCATAATCCTTCTCCTCATTTGCCTCCTGAGGCCTCACAGGGACAGCGTCTGGATTTAACCCTGAGACACCAGGAAGTCCTCTTTTTCCTTCTGACACCTGAAATGGCTACAAAATCATATGACTTGTCTCAGAAGCAACTGTTATTGTACTTATCCAGGAACCACTACACAACTAGGTTGAGGGCATGTGCCAGGTAAGGCACAAGTGAGAACTTTCCTTGCTAAAGAGTGGGAAGCAGATTTGTGTGAATGTAACACAAAGTGGGATAGGTTAATCATCTCTGGACATGTCTATGCAGAACTGAAAGGCATGTCTGCTTCAGTGTGGCTCATGTCCCCTAGCCATACCAGCTGAAAAACTGTGTGGCATAATTTTGCTTCAGCTGTTGCAAAATCTCTTGAACACTTGTGGAGAACAAGTGGGGGACCCAAAGATGGTACTGAGCAGGAGGAAGAGGTAACTGCTCTGTCATTGCCATCATCTGTAAGGAATCAGGTAAGCACAACCAGCTCCAGCTGTGTGCTCCATTCTGCATTTTTTCTGGGTGTCAGCAGAGTTACCTAGTAGGATGTGAATGAGATATATGGACTCTGCTGATGGCTATGTGGTCCAGCAAAATAGAAAAATTACCTTCCACATGATGGCGAAGGTCAGGAGTGACCTTACAGAAAAAAAAGGTAGCCAAAAATCTGCCCCCTGTAGTGCAGTGCAGGCCAAAAATTCAAAAATGGGAGCTGTAAAATCAGCAATATTGCCAATTTGGCTTTGAACTATTGAGCATTCATTGCAGTAGCTGGGGCATTGAAACTTACCTGTTAAATGCTACAGCTGGAGATGGCAGGGTGGGGTTGGCAGAATCAAAGCAAAGTTGCAGCCTATGTTTGTCACTACTCTTCATGGACCCGTAATGACCCTCGCCCCTTCTTTAAGAGCCATAAAGTAAACCTCTGATTCCCCTTGAAATGCTTTCATCCCTACTAGAGGTTGCTGTTGGGGAATCTTGTATAATGGGGTTAGAGGTGGAAAGGGAAGAGTTGGAAGGAGGAGGTGGAATGTGGCCCCTTTGCTGACAATGGCTAGCACTGCACTGCTCCCAATGAGCTGTGTTGGGAGACATCATGTGTCTTTTCTAACATATAGTATCCAAATGTCCAATGGTATTGCCACACTTAATAAACTTTAGGCTAAGACTGCAAATGAATATGTTGCAGTCTGCAGTACATGTGTTGAAAAAAGGCCAACACAACTTAACTCTGGGAAGAGGAATGGTGAACTGCTTTGCACCAATGGAGCTCTGCAATGCAGTGGAATAATAAGGTTGCACTCTGTACTCTTCTGCGTGCACCCTGGACAACACCCTGACTAACTGATGTCGTGCCTAACACTCATACTTCTCCTCCACTATAATTGGTACCCAAGTATGGTTGAATACCTTATCATCAGCCCCCCCCCCCCCCCCCCCAACGTCCTCATTGCTGGAGCCAACTCGGCAGTAAGCTGCAGCTTCAGGGATGTTGGTGCCACTTGTTTCAACCTGCCTGCTGTGCACTTCCTCTGTGCTCTCACTGTTCTCCTCAACCTCATATGCAATTAATTGCTGTTCATCCTCTTGAAATCAGTGTGATGACATTGTGCTCAAATAATTCAGCAAACATCTCCAATGACTTCAAGCTACACTGCACTTTGGAAAGAATGAAGGAGGTTTGGCTAGCCACTCCATTACTGATGCAGTATTTCTCAACCTTTTTTCAGTCAAAGCACCCATAAAAATTATGGACAGTCCCGAGGCACTCTTTAAAATTATGGACAGTCTTAAGGCACCCCATTCTAAAATGTGAAAAACTATTCTCTAGTGTTATATAACGCAGAAACATCCACACACGTTGGACACCCAACATTAGAGGCAATTTATTCTTCCAAAGCAAATACACTTTTGCACACTGGTACTGAGTAGTATTCCAGTGTTTCTCTTCTCCCTCAGTTTTTCTCAATCACTGAGAAAATGTGACACCAGCACTGATAGAGAGGGGCAGGGGAGGGTCAAACTAGGATGTTGTGCAGGTAGCTGACAATCGCCTTATCAAACGGTGATGCTATTGGTTGTCAGGATGCTGGTGGCTAGAAGATCATAATGGTGTACAATGAAAACCTGAGCCTTTGTGTAATGAAAAGGTAGGCTTGTCCCACCCTCTGGCTTGTATACAAGTTTTGCACAATTTTTAGACATTTTGCCAAGGCACCTGTGAAGAAACCTCAAGGCACCCCAGGGCACATTTTATGGTGTCCCGAAGAATGCATGCAAATTAATTCAGGGATGTTTGGCACAGAAATTGCTGTCAAACGTCCAGAAGGTTCAGTTTTAATCTAGACATCCAAACCTTACTTTTTAATTCAGATATTACATTCAGACTGAACACACAGCTCATCCTTAGTGTTTATATGGTTTCCCAAACCATATGGATGACAGACCTGTGAAGGCTTTAGTGGAGGTTGGCAGAGGGTGATGCAATCAAATGTGTTGACAAGGATAATGCTTTTAGGAGGAGTGAGAAGGGATGACCTCATCTGCTAAAGGACTTAGATATAAGCACTGTGCATCTGTTTTCCCCATAGCATTTAGAGTTGGGACCTGTTCAGACTCTCATGTAGGAGCTCTTAGATTTATTTTGACTGTAAGAAGTGTTATCCACCTGACTGTGCCATATGACAGAGCTGTGCAATCTCAAGATTGGATGGACAGGAAGACTGTTAGCATGTGAACCGCTCTTATATATTATATATTTTATCTGTTTGCCTAAAGTTAAACATAAAATTGCCAATCTAAAACGATGCTTGTTTTAATAAAGCAAGGTCACGGAGAAATAAAATTTGACAGCACATAAATACTATACATAAAACATTTTTATGATACACCAATTCCTCTATGACCTTGATTATAGATTGACTTGAAAAAAATAATTTACATGTTTATTTTATGCAATATGTAAATTATACTTTAGATCAAATTAGCAAATAAACTTTTGTCAAGCAGCAATATAACTTGAGTTAACGGCATACCTTGTTGAACAAATGCCCCGTATACAATCCATATAGCACTGTGTAGAGTTGAGGATGTAGATGTATTTGCTTGTGATGAGTTTGTGCTCTCACAGCTTGGATACGATTCAGAACAAATATCAGTACTCCCACTACCGGAATAACAGCTGCGATACAGGCCCACACAGCAAAGTCAAAAGGAGCAAAGAGTGAAAAAATGTTTATCCTCTCCTCTGGCTTCTTGATAAGAATTCCTACTGAATAATCCAAGTAGCGTTTGCTGAAATCCACAACGCTCTCCCGTTCTGGTGTAATGGTGATTGCTGATACAGCAATATCTGCTCTCTACAAGGACAGGATGAAATTGTTCAAACATTGCATCATTCATTTAATTCATGTCTTTCTAAATACATTGTACTTTAAATAATTTACAGTCATGATGAAAATTATAATAAATATGTGAAACAGCAACATATACTGCTACATATGTCACTGTTCTGCAAGACAACATAGGAGAGGTCTAAAATATGTATTAATTAATAAGTTAGATTAAAGAATAAGTTCACCTTTCATAAAATGTTACCAAAATTCTTGGTGTAAAATGTGACAGGTTATGAAAGGGCTGGCTCCTGCCCAGGGGTGGAATGACCATTTGGGAACTCGGGCACTACCCGAGGTCCCGGGGTCAGTAGGGGGCCCATAAGATGCCCCTGGTACCTTTCATAGGCTTTTTTGGGTGTGGTTTGAGTGTGGGCTAGGACACAGGGGCCCCATGATCCCATATTGCCTGGGGGTCCCATGAATTGTCAGTCTGCCCCTGCTCCTGCCCCCTCACCCCCGCTTATAGAGATCCCCCCCCCCACTAGCTATCAAAATTTAAAAAACCTGCAGCCATGCGGGGTTTCGTCCTCTGTGAATGAGAAAAGTACAAGTCATAACAGCCTTAGCTTAGCCTCGAGGTATGCATGAGCAAGCAAGTTGTACTGACGAGTGTGCAGGAGACCTGCATTGTACCAGCAACCTGATGATCACTGGTGTAATGCTTTACAGGCTCTTGCAACAAAAAATAATAAATGCACAGTTTTTACCTGGAAAAAAAAAATGTGCCTTTATTATTTTTTGTCAAAAGGTGTAACTTTTAAGTTTATTAATCTAACAAACACATCACACTATGCTTATTTGAGAAGCACATTTTAAGTAAAGTAAAACAGGTAAAACAATCATTAAAAAAATCACACTTCATGTAAAATGATAAAGCAGCATTACTAAATATAATTTGTTAACTAATAAAGTACATCTTGATTTTATTGAATAAAGGACGCCATCATGTCACAAACAGCTTGCGCAAAGATCACAGTCTGTGGTGGCTCCTAGGTGCATTATGGGGGTTTGGCCCAAAGTGATTGTAGCCATTATGTTGAGCACTGTCTTTGATACACTTTTTATTTGCACTTTTACCACATTTTAAGGACAGACTTTTGAGGGACTACAACTTTCTTTGTCCAAGTAGTAAGTGGATGGCACTTAAAGTGGTAGTAAACTCTCCCCAATATATTTTCCCCATTTAAATCCTTAATAAGCACTGTATAAATTGCTGTCTGTAGATTGATTCTTGTAGCAAACCTGCTTATCAGAGTCGGAGCAGAGTTCTCCTTCAACCTTTTTTTTCTTGTTCCGTTCTGTTATTTGAGGTTATTTGAGGTATTCCTCGCTCACTCCTCCTCACATCCCCCCTTTCCAGTCCTGCGAGGCAAACGTCATCTCCTGACAGATGGTGCGGGTCAACCAGGTTAAGACATCTTGAGTTGGCACCAGCAGTCTGGGGGAACTGTCACCTTTCTCACCTACGTCTGATAAGGCAGCATTTCTCAGAGGGCTGGGAAGCATTGACCCAAAACGGCGTAAGCCCACACATTATCAAACTCACCAGAGTAATTGCACATTCCTCAGGTCAACCGTATGTTTCATGTCATGTATTATGAAGCTATAGTTAATTCAGTTTCCCACTGACCACTCCCAAAACGTGTAGTAAGAGCCCCCCTCCCCTTTGAGAGGGACTTTTAAGAGAGACAAGTGAGTTAGAGCTTGGCACACCCAGAGATCTCCCTGCAATATCGTAACAAAAGGAGATCAAGAACTCACCCTGCTCTATAACTTGGATCTGCAAACCCAGGCATATGGGCAAGTAACTTAACCCTGTAATCTTCTACCTAATTATCTCCTTGCTGTGTCTTTATATACATATATATATATTTTTGTGACATATCTTTGTAAATATTGTCTTGCACCTGTTTTGACCCTGTTAGTAATAAATCTTTCTTTCTGAAAGTGTTAAACTGTTTCTAAGCACTTACTTGCTATTCACGAATCCCTGCCTTTGAAGAGATGCTACTGTTTGTTATATCTCTGTATAGCAGGTCCGCGGGCCGTGCTATATAGATCAATACTTCAATCATTATAGTGTATATTTGATAACGGGAGTTTCCCAGTCTCCAACAAAAGTGGTGGTGGCAGTAGAGGGTTAGTTGCGTAATTAATCCGACCCAGTAACAAGCGCATTTAGGCTGTAGGCACCGATTGTAGTCCATTAGCTGGGCAATCGCTGTGCTGGGTGCGGCTGAGTGTGGCCTTGTTACGCGCGTCACACCACGATTTTAGATCGGCCGGTCCTTCGGTCACGGGTTTGGTGAGAATGTCTGGGGTCTGACGCCGTGGGCGTGACGTATTACTGTTCGTTGCGGTCGTGCGATTGTCGCCTGTCGGTGGCGGCGATCGTGGATCTGTGACAATTCTAACCTGCTTCGTTTGCTTATAATCTGTCCTTGACATCATTGGTGCACAGTGGCGTCCCAAGGCAGGTGCGGGGGGTGCGTGCTGCACTGGGTGACACCTACCGCACGGGGTGACACCAGACCAGCTCCACGAAAAGGTAAGTTGTAAAGCAAGCCAACAATCCCTGCAGGATGTATCAGATCCATCCTGCGGGGATCGTCGGCTTGCATTACAACTTACCTTTTCATGGAGCGGGAGTCCAGTGTCAGCCCGTAGAGGTTGCATGCCGACGATCCCTGCAGGATGGATCGGATCTGCGGATTGGGGAGCATAATGGATCGGAGTCTGATCCATTATGCTCAATCTGCAGATGCGATCCATTCTGTGGGGATTGTTGGAGGGGGTGTCACCAAGTGTTATCGCATTGGGTGACACCAACCCTAGGGACGCCCCTGCCGGCGCATGCACATATTTCTCTCGATTCACTGCACAATCATTGTGCCATCAGTCTATTCATTAATATGCATCTCTCTGTGGCACAGCTCCAAGATCCCACAAGATTACCATGTCATTCAGTGGAAAGGAGATCAGCTGCATTATATAGCAGACTGTACAGTATCTTACAATATCAAAAACATATTACATGATCATTAAACATGCTGAAATGCTGGCTCACTGTCGAAGACTCGATATGCAGGACATGGGCGCTATAGTAATCGGGAATGGAAACAAAGCTTGGCTACAACATTACTGAGCATGTGCAAGATTATAGCAGATCAAAGGGCAGAAATAAACTGCACTGTAGACTCAGAAGACAGCAGCTAAGATGCCATTGGCTGCTACCAGGAAGCAAGAATTAAGAATCAACTGGGAAAAAAGTAAGAAACATCTGAAGGTGGGAAAGAATAATGCAGAATGTTATGAAAAGCTTTATCAGACTAGATATTTTAAGAAGAAGCATTTGAGGGGCTGAGTTTACTACCACTTTAATATTTTATTTTTGGCATATATGTTCAAAATGTCAGCTACTTGTAAATAATAGTATGCAAGTGTGCTTTTTTTTTTAATTTTCAATATGTACATGGGGCAACTATATTTGCCCAGGACATTATGAATGCTTTGCTTCCTGCTGATCCTTTTATTGCATTGATATGGTCTAAATGAACATAATAGACTCTGTTCTCTGCAATGAGGCAACATAGTCATATATATGTGATAAATCCTCCTGCGCTGGTATACCTAATAAAACAGCAGCTAACATCCAATCCTCACCTTTGGATGGATAAATGGATAAAATTAATATAATGATTAAGATAATACATCATTACTATATTAACAGTCATATACTGTTCATGATACTTTTTTTTTCAAACTGCTAAATTTTAAGGAAAAGCTATCAGTGACCAAAAACTCTTGAAAGTCTAACTGCAGTAATTGCCCCTTACCACCACCACACACACAAAGGCATACCCCCAAATAAACCATGACATCAGAATTATACCAGCAAATGTCTGCTGTAACAATCTGTAAATCACAACTCTCTGGCCTAATAAAAACTTATTAGGTGTAGGAGGGAACAACTGGGTTATGAGAAAAACCTTAATTTTCCAGTTTTTCAAAAATTCCCCTTGTATTATTTTCAGTGATAATTTAAACCAAGTCTAAAAATTGTAATTTAAAGTACAACTAAATAATTTTTTTTGACAGTTTTGGACAAAAGTGGAAATGGATGAGAGCACTTGTCAGTATTTATTGCTGTCTATGCCCCCATTTAGGAAATTCACCCTCTATATTTGTCCTGTTTATCATTATCATTGAAAGTGAAAGTAAAAGAAAATCCTAAATTTTGGGCTGTGCCCAGAAAAGTAATAGAGGGGAAATATTCCAATGGGGACACTAGGTCTGGTGACCTGGGTATCCCATAGGGATTCCCTAAATTTGTAGGGATTTCCCTCACTTCCTATTTTAGCTATGGGACAGGAAGTAAAGAGAATTCTTCCCAACAGGACACAGTGTTAAAAAATAAACTGAAAGCAGTTATGACCTTCTCTTACTCTATCCAAAATGAAAAAAGGTTTTGCCTGAAGTTCTACTTTAACAGTTTTCTCTTGAGTTTTATTTTCAATAAGCATGTTAATATTCTTTTTTCCTTCCATGCACTGTGAACAGCTCATTCTAAGATTCGTGTTAGCCAAGTAGTCCAATATGCACTTTTATGAGTAACAGACATGCAGTAAGTGTTTAATTAAGTATTTATATAGATTTTTAAGTCTAGAGGAATGACTATATTCTTAGCGGTTTATTACCTTATTTATAAGTTCTCCTATCATACCATTCCAGGAACCATTAGGAAGCAGGTGTCCATACTTTCCATCGGGGACTTGGTAAATTTCATATTTGAATCCAAGGTTTTTTTGCGATAACGCATCAAGGACATCGACTGAGAAACCTTTATACTTCTTTGGTTGACCAAGTATGTTCTCTGCTACCATTACAAAAGGTTCCTCCTAAGAATGGAAAAGAAAACTTTAGTTCATAAAACAGACTTAGAAAATGAAATAAAAATAGGGAATTTACGAATTTTACATTTTATTTCATTTACATATATAAATGAATGGCAAGGCAACTGATATGCATAATCAGATACACATTATAGTGGCAATTAAGTACAGTTTGCTTTAGTCTGAAATAACCTACTAACATCCTCCTCCCCCAACACACATGCTCTGAATTGTATAAAAGATTTTAATGGCTCTTTGCATGCAAACTAAGCATCATTTCACTCTATGCTCGCCTATATAGATTCTACTGTTAGCTTCTTTAATGTATAAACAGCTGCAATACAGAAATGAAGTGTAAAAAGTAACAATAAACAAATGAAGTGTAAAAAAATGACAATAAGAGTGAAAAAATGTGATGAAATGTGTCAAAAATAAAAGTGCTTTCTCCAACTTGCATCATAAACATACACTATTTGTTTTTGACCATTTTTTAAGCTGAACACATGTATACATTTTTTAAGCAAATA